GTGTTGTGTTAAGTGTTGTCTAAGATACAAGTAGACCAAGAGACGGAGATACACGTATGCACGTGATCCCAGCCTCCTTATCTCAGCAACCGGGGTATTCCAACAGCCAGAACCCGCGGTGGGCTGCTTGTGGGCGGGTAAGGAAATTGAAAACCCAACCCAAACCCGCGCTTGGCGAGGTCTAGCTGTGACGTCTTATTAAGACCCGTGAGCATGTGATATATCATGTGATATATCATGTGACTTTATGTGCCCAACGGTGTTGACACGCCCCGCTTAAACTTCTTTTTACCCCTCTTGATCGCATTTCAAATTATTTTGTCTCTTACAAGTATTCACATTTCTTCGGTCCATTGATGGAATCTGGCTGATATTTATCTAGGCCCAAGGAGCGGAGCCTCAATCCTCAATCATCCACCCATCCTCATTTTCTTTTTTTCCCCTCTCGCAGTCGCGTTCGCATTCGATGGAACCCCGAAAACTACCTGGCCCAGCCGAAGATATCCGAAAGGAAATTCAGGTATTAATACCACAACTTAAGACAGTGGAAGAAGATGAGAGTGGAAATAAGAAGTACAGTGGGGATACACTTTCGGAGCTCGTATCTCGAATGAAATCTGCTCTTCAAATCGATGGGGTAGGCATGAACGTCCAGCTATTTTTTTGCGCATCGCTAACTCTATTAGAACTGGGAAGGACGTTTAAGATACTGGTCGAAGCGCACAAAACTAGACCTTCGAGATACGGCATACCTTATACCAATCCCAAATGAGATTGAAGTGAACGGGTGGTTCCTGAAGGACGGGTGGTTCGTACAAGTTAATAATAACCCAGTTGTCGGCGCAGGCGCAACTACTTTGGTTATCACGCCTCGTTGATTTTTTAAGCTGCAAATGATCGGTGAAGTAAACTGCTGTCATTATGAATGAAATTTGTTGTATATCATATTACTAAAATCGGACTCTTCGCAGCCCAAAAGGGATTCTGGTAGGCTGCGTCCGAATATCCTGCAGCTTGGCGATTATACAAGTCTTTGGGAAAAGTGGATGGTGACGAGTGATTACCTAAGAGACCTTGCTGCAGCATAGGGTTGCCCTGATGGTGTACTTGCCTATGGTCGGTCGGTGGTATTGGGTCAAAATTCCCTTGTAGCATATGACCGTCAGCTTGACTTGAGGTGGCCAAAAGTGGTTGGTTATAGTTTTCATGTTGCCCTATACTGTCACTTTCGCCATTTGTCCAACGCCAAACCTGGCCCCAGAGGCTCGACGATGGGGTTCCGCGTTGCCGCAGGTTGGGGTGGCTTTGTGATTGCATGTTCCAGAGTTCACCCGAGTCAGTTGATCGTGGCAGGCGAGGGCTGCTTTGTAATACGTCAAGACTGAAGCTGAAGATTGGATCTATACTGGGGCTTCCATGTTGTCGTATGCCATCATTTCTATCATTTGTGAAACCAAAAACTTGATCCCAGAGATTCGAGGGTGATGGTTCGTGTTGCAGCGGGTTCAAATTGCCTTGCGGTGGGATAAACCGAGCCGATGTGGTCAGCTGTGGTGGATCAGAGTAGTTTCCCAGTTGCATGCTGTCGTTCCCATCGTCTCTCCAAGACCAAACTTGATCCCAGAGACTCGAGGGTAATGGTTCGTGTTGCAGCGGGTTCAAATTGCCTTGCGGTGGGATAAACTGAGCCGATGTGGTCAGCTGTGGTGGATCAGAGTAATTTCCCAGTTGCATGCTGTCGTTCCCATCGTCTCTCCAAGACCAAACTTGATCCCAGAGACTCGAGGGTAATGGTTCGTGTTGCAGCGGGTTCAAATTGCCTGGGACGTCCCAAACTAAACTCGGGGTGGTCCACCGGTCGGGGTCAGTTGGTGGCAGGATATGATCACTACCATCATGTTGGTTTCCTGGTAAAGATTGCAGTGTGGTTGGGGTGAAATTATACGACTCGAGTTCTCTGTCTTGGTGCTGACTGACAGGGCTGGAGTGATGACCAGACGTCGGCACGTAAGATAATTCGCGATCAAGAAATTGCTCAGAATCGCAAATCACATTTTGCTGACAAACATTACTTTCCAGGGGACAGGTCTTGTCGCTGACCATACAATCCATTGTTTCTTCGTTGTTTGTTGTGCCGGGAGAACATTCCATGGGGCTGGATGGAGAGTGCTCTTGAGAAGCACCATCGATTGTTAAGCTTAGTGGCGAATTAGAGACCGTACGAATTGATTCATTGGGTGTTTCAAGATGGTCGACTTTGAAGATTAGCTGGGGAAATATGAAAAGCTTGCTGGTGGTGCTATACTTTCTGGTGAGTCAGGTGACGCATTTCGACGGGACCTTTTTGGACATGTGCCGGACGGCTCATTTTTCCGTTTGTTGCTTGGCTGGATGATCGATTCGGTGTTGGTTATGTCAACAAGAAACCTTTCAAGCCCCGAGAGATCTTGAATCTTATACTTCGAAAAGTCATACCCCAGGCACTCGCAGATTTTCTCCAACCTATGGAATTGTCAATTAAATAGGGAATGTGCAAGATGCCCTGGACGCTGACGTACGATATACGATTTCTATAGATAGTTCGTATAATAGAAGGAATTGCGAAAGGAATTGTTATCACTTGTTGATCCTTTGGATAGAATCTTTTTTTCAGCTTTGCCTTCAAGTCATAGGGATCGATAGAGTAGTCATTAAATTGACTAAAAAAGTTGACCCGATGTTTGACTGACATTGCCAAGAAATTAGATCCTATCATAAAAGTTGAAGCGCGCACATACCATTATAGATGATATCCCAACTACACAAGCCCCATGTAGTGCCAGACAAGATGTCAATGACCCTATTTGCCCATTTCGCACCACGAATCCGGCCCCTTAGGCTTTTTTCTGTAGCATGAGACCGGAAAATCGACCGCATAGCTTGAAAGACATGTTCTTTAGGGGCGACCTCCAGAGCCACTGCGCACATTGAACAGAATATGAGTTCTTGAAAGCATGCCAAAGCCGTAGTATCCATCTCTTCTCTCGGTATGCACTTGCTGTAATCAAGGAGGATCGACAACTCTGGAGTCGTAAGGGCTGATGTCGATAAGAACGTATGGTCTGGTAGGGTTGGCCCGGATACCAACTGATGAACAATCTCCTTTCGATTTAATTCACTAATGGCTGTCCATCTTTTCCAGTCATCTGATTCAGGGAGAATACTGATAAAAGATGCGAATGAGGACAAACGATGCAATTCACGTGTTGTGGCTTTCGTCGGCAAAGGAGTCCCTGCTGTGACTGGCAACTCACACTTGTTTCGTGGTTCGTAGAAGAATATTTGGAGTGAACTCTCAGGGATTCTCTGTTGATGATCAAAATCATCAGCAGAAACCTGTGTTTCAACGCCCTGTATGTAGTGAGAAGGATTCTGGCAGACTGTACAAGGCCTCTGGGCTTCAGGAGAAGACGGCGAATAGGCATTATCTAATTCAATAATGCGTAATTCTAGGTGCTTGATATAAGACGATTTATCACCTTTGCATTCTATCAGGCGATCGCAGGCCATGGTGCAGTGGACAGTAAATTCAAGAAGGCTTTGCACTGGGGAGGCAAAATCCACACATAACCTTGAAGAGGGGCGGGGACAGGCGCGATCGCCGGTGGCGGTGTGCCACTGAGGTGCGTTTTCATCACATGGCGCTAAAATGCCTTCGTTCACCTTTCCATGTTCTGGTTTTATCCCTTGCTTATTTTCTCCGGCTTTCCTTTGTCTTGATGTATTCACCAGCCATCTTCCCTCCATCTTTCCTCTATCGCCCCACCACCAACGCGCTATTCCATAAGTGAAAACAACTTGTTCATGCCAATTCTTCCTTCCGAAAATGGTGTTCCTACAAGACCTTTGAACAAGAAAAGAGCATTGGCTCCAGTGTTTGTTTTTACGCCACTGCTGATTCTATATTCTACGCTAACTAGATTTGTAGACCCGGGCTCCGGGCTGACGAATCTGGTTAGCGTTCTTCCTTCCTGCATGATCACATGCCACACTGCATCTATGCCAGTCTAGAACCGGATAGACTGCCACGTCCGCATACCACAGAGACTTCAGGAGTCCGTATACGTAAGTACGATGACTAGATGGAATGCCGGTAAGTAAGATGACCTCTAGTTGTTGATTTAGAAGACGATGGTGCTAATAACTTGCACCTCCCGCCCTATCTCAATGCAACGTGTATTAAGAAATATCCTTTTCTGCCACCAGGGCCTATAGCAACTGGCTATGCCTATGCAACTTTGATGTCACGGTCTTATTACTACACCTAACATGATAAACTTGGATATTTCTCTCGAGATACCATGTGTCACCTCCTCCAAAGACCAGGTTTCAATTCACCCAATTGGGTTTGCCTGGGCTCTCCAGTGTGAATATTGACCCTGTTCACAAACAACAGTGGCATAGATGCCAGCCCCATTATTAGGTAATGTGATCCATTGCAGGGAGCTGCTTTGGCAAAAAAAGAACCTTGGAAAAATTAGACCGATTATCGGCCTGTAACTGGAAGGTCCTGGTTCCGAGAACAGTTGCTCCATTCGGTCAATGATTCCTGGAATTGGGAGATGAGAACGCCAGAAAAGATAAAATCGGATTGTTGCAAAGCAGAAATATTAGCTGAGCTCGCAAGAAAGCTTTGCTTTTTTCTTCTGTAGTTATATACACTAACCCAGTCTTTGAGTTTTAAAAAGCCAATGCGTTGGAGTCTCGTCTTCACAGACCCGAGAAATTATCGAGTAATAAGACCAAAGACCCCTCTACAGCAAAGATATTACGGATGCGATTTGACCGAAAAAACCATCCTCGCATCTCAAAATTAGTTCTCCTTTTGCTGGCGCTCCAAATGAAAGATCCAATACCCCAAGAGGAAAATTGCCATCGCCGTAGCATCTCTGCTCGGCGAAAGCGAGAACCTCCACGAAATGGCAACGGAGACATTATCTGTGAGCACGTTGACTGCCAAAATGATCCGCCGACCCTCCGCTTTCCATCTCAATGGAAGTGTGTTTTCTATTGCACCCAAAGAACGTCAGACCTCGAAACTGACCTTCGAATCAACAAACACATGGACAGGCCAGCGACCTTACAAATGTTCCGAGTCCGGTAGTGAAGAAAGGCAAGGCTTCGCCTCGAGTGGTGACTTCCTGCGCCATCAAAAAAGAATTACATGACAAAGGCAGCAAGCTCAGAAACCTTTCATTTTGTTCATACAAAGACTACACTCGCAGTTCTTCTAAGCCTTTCTTGAGAGCCGAGAATTGGCGAGACCATTTTCGGCGGATTCAAAAATAAAAGGATACGAGTAAGACCGAATCATTGGAAAACGTATCAAACGAGCCCACCACCCCGAAAACGCTTCTCTTAGACCCCACGACGGTCGCTACCCAGCTACATTCCTTTCTCGTGAGAATATTCTACAAATGGAGGCAGACTCCCTCCACGGTCTTCTAGTGGAAAAGTATTGACGTATCCAGGACCTTGAGTGACAGAAAAGGGAATTGGAAGCAATGAATCGTGGTCCCAGAACTAGATCATCGTCTTAGTGCCCTTGAGAAAGAGACGTTACATTGGAATCTCAGTAATTTTTGTTGCGGATTAAATCCCAGTGTTTGATCAATAAATCAGATAACCCATTGATGATTGGCGATTTCCACAAGTGTCATTTTGGCCACAACGCTAGTCTGACGAGTCATGGCAGTAAAATTTCAAAGCCTATCAAGGTTCTTTCCATTCCGTTTGCATCAAGATTGAGTGTTATACCAACTCATAGATTACGCCTGGGACCTGAAAGTGTGAGTTCAGTTCCAGTAAGCGCAAAATAGGATGTATGTTTGGGATTATAGTCGCGGACCACCTTTCTATACCCGAGGCTTGCCTCATTTGCAACGGTGGGTTGCTCGGACCCCTTCTCTTCTTTCCTACCTAGTCAGAAAGCAATCTATGGCTTGGTATACTTCCGATTAGAATCCAGTTTCCAATACATCAAAGTCTGAAGATCTCATAGAGCACTCCATCATAAATAAACAGTTCCATCCACCGGTTCCCTACCACTGTGATTAACAATCCAAATCAATTCACAAGCAGAACGATGATCAACTCTACTCTTGCCATTTCAGCAAATTTTGCTCTGGCGAAATTGAATCTTCTTCTGGTATGGTATGAAAAGTCCTTGAAGTGATCTCCTTTGACTAAAATACCAAGACGAACAACGAATCAGACTGGGCCATTCACTTCAAAAGTGACACGATATACCAGAAAGCCCAAGAGTCGCTTCACATACGAAATGGACATGCAACGCACGAAATCAGAGTATCGGAGACAGCAAAGATGTTTAGTGGGGGAAATTCAAGTCGATAAAAGGGTTGTGACTGTGAATAGTCCTGTGTGTTCATCAGACTTGACTTGCGGCACCCAAAGCTACATTCATTTTGAAGAATCAAAGCAGCTAGTTGGATCGAATGTGCGAGACGCTTCGTCCGCTCATCCTGCCGGTGGTGAAGCTGCAGCCAAGACATAGCTCAGCGTCTGAGTCAGGAGATATGAGCTAGATAATTAGCTTAAATGAAATGATGCCTTCTGGAAAGGGGAGACGTCTATCCATCTGCATCACCCTCTTTTCTCCGTAATTGCTATCACTCCATGGAGGTTGCCGACCGATTCTTCAATGAAAAAAGGCCTCAAATTGGAAATGGAATTCGCAGCTACGGGTGGCTTGAGTCACAAATTGATTGCCTTTTCTGCTCTGACACAATCAAATCGAAGCAAGCGCTGCATCATATCTTGGGATACTATGAGCAGGCCGACCCCGATATTCTCTTTGATTTGGACGTCTTTTTACAAAGTGACTGGGCTCGCAGGTCTGCTGTTGCTCGTTGGAACCTTTTTCCCGACTTCGATCAAGTTGTGGATAACCAGAAGTGCCTGCAAAGCGAGCAAGAGCATCCAGATGTTGCCTCGTGCTGTGCATATGAGTCCCCAGGTGCCTTCCAATTTCTGATCCGACAAGGCATTATTCGGCCATGTTACTACAACAGCTTTGGACACAGCCTCTTCCTTCTTGCCTTTCAGGAAAACGCTATCGAAACGATGAAATACATGATATCCACGATGAGTCCGATCCATCTTATTGCTCCTGCATCGGTGGCAGAAATGTGGGATGGGAGGTCAATTCTTCAACTAGCGGCGACGAACGCGGTTGTGTTTTGTATCTGTTGGGAAAAGGTCGACCAAATGCAACTGGACTTGAGAGAGACTCTCCAGGAAGGTGAAATCCGCAGCATTTGCCGATTTGCACGCATGGGCCTAGCCTCTCGTTTGTATCAGAGAGGTATAAATCTTGCTGATGTGGTGAAGAAAGACTCTTCTCTTTGGCTTGAGATGATTCGTTATCATTCAGAACCAACATCTCTTTTTGACTGGCTTTGGATGAACAATTGCCTACCTCCGCAAGACTTTCTTCTCTTTCATCCGGATCCCGATTCCGCTTTGGACTGGCTTTTGGCAAACAATTTTCCACTTCCATATGCTGGACGTGGTCAAGAGTTTCTTTGGAAATTTGCAATCCGTTGTGGCAGGTTAGATGCGGCCCATTGGTTGTCCTTCGATAGGGTAGCGCCTAGCCAACTAGCGAATCGTGAGACAATTTTTGAGTCACCAGCCGGAAAACAGCATGCAATTTTGGAGCATAAGATGTACTAGAATAAGCCGTTAAGCAAATAATCCGGAGAAGAGGTGTCGCGTATCTGTTCTATGAAACTTTTCCCGCAGAACTCGGTGATAAACTGGATATTTTTTCTCCGGCCAGAACATTGCTTTGAAGGAATCCACAACTACAGCATTTTAGCGGTGTTTTCTCGCAGAATCCACAGCTTTAAATAATTGAACTACATGTTCGGTAGTCCGTTGCATCAGATTTGCTTGGCCATTCATCTCAATAGGCCACGTTCCCATCCTGGATACTATTTCAAGACAACAAAAGCTCACCGATAGCCTCTAGGCTCGAGCGAAATCCACTGTGTAGTAAAATTCCTCATAAGAAAACCAATCAAAAAGCTTTAGAGAATGATTTTATTGGATAATTGACCAGGTGTACAATCTCAATCGGATTGTTCTTGCACAGCACGAACGAACGAAGTTCGATTCTATACGCTTTTGGCGCGATATCTACAGTAAACATGCGGGTTAGATCTCGTACATAAAAAGGATCTCGTCCTATTTCTCCTAGTATCTGGGTACAATACAATCAGCTCGATAGGCATCTCTCAACGCCTAAGAAGAATATACCCAGTCCTATCTCGTTCCCATCCTCGCTAGCCATTGCTACGACTCCAGAGATGTACGATGCTCTGAGAGAGTACTGTGTCCTAAATGAAGTAGCGAAGAGCTCAGGGCTGGAGCTCGTCTGCGTTGCATGTGATCTGGGGTTTCGCGATCAGGATGTGCTATACAAGCATTTCGATACTATGAAGGGCCAAGACAACGTCCACAACGGATTGTCCAAGAGAGAGGGAGATTTCCCCTTATTTTTGAATAGCTATAGGATAGCTATGGGCTGGGAAACCATCTCAGATGGTGATTTTCCAATCGAATTCAATCAAACGGGACGACGACCTGGACGTCGGCCATTCTACACCTTCTTCGAAATCGATTTTGTCCTGGAAAAAAAGGGCGAGGTCAAATTCAACACCCTGGAGAAGAGTCTTGCGATTGTGGGGAAAATTGTCAGCAATGCCCAAAAGGATTATCTATGTCCTCTCTGTTTGGTACTCTGCAGCACCACCAAAGCGTTTTATTATCATTGTGACCAAATGGAGGATGAAGTCCACACGGGCCTCGCGTACAAGGGCCCAGATTGCCAACTGTTTCTTCCTCATTACTTTACTGCCCTCAAGGCAACAGTACCGGAGAAAGAATTGCCTTTGGGTAGGGGTCGACAGGGTGCATACTCGTTCCATGAGTGTTTCCGGCGGAAGTTCGTCATGAGATGGAAACAAGGTGAGTGAACTCAAGAGGCGAGCCAGTGATTGGTCCTGACTATATGACAGTGGATTCGACCAAAGACCTTGGAGTATGACCAATTTTAGCTTCGGGCGTCTAGCTACGATCTCTTGAGTCCCATAATCACAAAGCCTAGGCACGGCGATCGTCAGTGACTAGTGATGCAGGGGCTGATGCTTGCAGGAGCTGGGGTTCGCCAGTCAGCCCCCGCAATGCGGCGTAATTAATGTTTTTGTATTGTCATTTTGCACTCCAAATAAAATTTTTATCCTTGTGATCATCAGTCGCTTGATCCAGAGGCCCTAAAGGTCTTTAAACATCACCTTTGCAGACCGAGAAGCCCTCCGCTGTCGGATCACACTTTATTCCGAACGATTCCAGAATATATATATCGCTTGGGTGGTTCCAAAATTTGTTCAAAAGAACTTTCACCCATCATATCATATACAATCCTATCTATCGAAGAAGCGGATGTTTCCCTTTCCGCGCTCCTTGCCAAAAGCAACAACATCGAGAGGGTCAGTGGTGGAGCCATAATACTTAGCTTCCGTCCGGATGATCTATCTTCTCCACACGTCCTACTTTGCCAACGCTCTCCCAACGGGAGAGATGACGATGGAGAGCCGACAATGAATTCTTTCCCTGGTACATGGGAGGGCCCTGGCGGTGGTGCACTGCCGGAGGACAGGAGCATTTTGGGAACCACGGTACGCGAGACTGCCGAGGAAACTGGATTGGTGCTCTGGGCGGCTTCCAATCGGGTCTACTGTGTTACATTCCCTCATAAAGATGTTTTGATGGCAAAATATTTGGTCATTGTAGAGACTAGCAAGAAAGCCAACTGTCGACGTTTGTGGTCCGATGAACACGACGGACCTCGTGGCTCGGATGAAAAACCAATCCGGCTGAGGGACGACGAACACCTCGACTACGTTTGGGCCACAGAACAGCAAGTTCGAAACTCGGTGATTTACGACCCAAGCGATACAAGAAAAGTAGGGCTTACCATGATCCAAAGCAACAAAGATGTTCTCCTGGACTTTTTCTCGTGGCTGAAGAAAGATGACCCTTGCATCGAGTACCCTCTGCCCGAGCTGCCACTGCAGGGCGATGGAAAATAGCATCTGATTCGAAATACCCGCTGGTTACAATTGGCAACTGTTTAAATTATGGGCGACGATTTTGAGCTCGGGTTATACTCATGGGTTGTGACCGCTTTAGCGTCAATTAACTACGGAGGTCTTCTTGGGGGATATGAGGAGCAGAGGCATCTTCATGAAGAATTAAATTTGCGGACCGCGATTTCCTGCTGGATACGCGCCACCAATACTTTCGTTGACCTTCTGGTAGATCTCAGCATAGCAATAGGTTACACAAATCCTGGGAATGATAATCCTTTCTCAAAAAATCTTTGGTATGGACAGATTATAGTCCGTCACACATCGTAGAATTTGAGGGAGAGATAATTTGTGCTACTTCGGTAGACACATTCTCTCGTCGTGGCTGATCATTGCCCAGCAGCCCGCGAAGATTGAACCTCTGTATAGGGAGTTTCTGCACTATAAAGCAAACAATTCCTCATCTGCAGGAATCATTCGAGTACAGATCATCTCTTTTGCCCAGTCATTAAAGCCATGCAACGCGCGTCGGAAGTTAAAGTCGATCCACCTGCACGATGTACATATAGCAGGTATGCCCATTCTGCGTCGACTCTCCAATGCAGCTGATAATGAAGAAGTTTTTGTTTTGATGTGATTGAAACCTGTGGTAGGTTCTCTGTCTGGCCTAAATCGGGCTTTCATACCCAATGTCAACGTACGTTGGGTATCCAGCGGACCGACTTCTCACCGGCACAGGTTTTTCTCGTGATCATGAAAATGCCAAACCATGATGTCCATTGTGGGGAGGACCTGAGCTACCTCTTAGATATCATGCATATAAGGCTGAGCAGACCCGAAGTCAGTGGTACCGATGAAGGATATTTCATTCAGCTTGCTATTGGCTTTGGAGAGAATTATCACATGGTGTCACGCGCGGATGATAAGTATGAGGCTTCACCAGTCATGTCCCGGGTTGAGGTGCGGCTGAAAGAGATTCAGCTAGTGTTTCCAGGGATCTGGAGGGTCACGGCATTGCGGCTGTTTGCCCTTGGTTGTGTGACTAAACAGGGAAGCCTAGCTGAGCTAGCTGGAGTTTTTCAGGCTAAACCAGCAATCACCGATACTCGGGCCCCCGCCCCTGAAAATAGAAAATAAAAATATATGGAAGAATCGGATCTATTGAAGACAAGGTTCTTTACTCTATTTCGATCTCGGCAACAAGACTAGAGGTACGCTAAATTCGCTTTAATATAAAGCTCCGGTGGCCCAGGTCCAGAATTGAAAGATTATTCCCGGGTGACTGTTTATTCGCTTCTACTCGTGACTGGAAGAAATGCACGGCGACACACAGCGCCAATCTGGCAAAAGATCCAGGCCTCTGTTTTCCAGAGCGAGGAAAGTTGCGTGCCTGCCGTGTCGACGACGGAAAATTCGTTGCCGGGGTAAAGGCCCTCCTTGTGGAACATGTACATCTCGCAAGATTGGAGACGAATGTGAATATCCATGTCAAGAAGCAGAGAGTTTCGTGGAGGTGGTGTCACCAGTAGCTGAAGACAATTGGGGAAAGCACTGGACAGTCGCCTGCCGAAGAGGAACCGTGTGATGCAACTGACCGGCTTTCGCCCGGAGATAACACGAACACCCTCTCGAACCTGAGCTCGACTCCCAGTTTAGACTTCAGCGACACCGACGATGATTTCGATACAAGTCTAGACCGCGAAGATGTCATATTCGCGCAGCCGCTTCAAGGCTTTGCCCTGCTGGGAAATGACCGAGAACTTGAAAAGGCGATATTTTGCATTGGTTTCTCCAGTTTCGTATTCCTGACCGACGATGGCTTCTTCTGCTAACAGATAACCAGGTATTTTGCATTTTGTCTCATGCAGATTTTGAGAAGGAATATCTGATTTTTCATCAACATCCCGATGTCGCACCTCTCTCCTGGCTATCCCTTCTTTTCGCCGTCCTGGCACTCGCGTGCCAAGCAGAGGAACACCCAGACAGAATTTCCCCTTCTAGCGTCTTATCAAAGCGGTATGAAAACGCTGCTTGGGATTCGCTATTGGTAGACAACCCTCCTTTCCAACCATCTAAGACCGCCCTGAAAGCGATGATACTCATCATTTACGGTCGACTTCATCGCGGTAAGGACGTATCAGTGGATCTTGAGAGGGCTTGTATTATGGCGCACGCCATAGACCGTGAGCCGTGCTGCGAACGGTCCCAAACTTGCGAGGAACATTGGAATATCTGGGTTAGGCTCAAAATGCTGTCCTTCATGAACCAGCAGGTGCATGGAGATACCTTCGAGCAAGAGTTCTTTCGAAGTAAAGGGCATTTGGTCAGTGCCCACTGCCATAATTCTATTGGAATTTCTAGGCTGACCATGCACTAGAAACCTTCGCCATTGCAAGATCAATTTACCATGTTTCATTTCAAGCTACTCGAAGTGTCAGACAACATTATGTACAATACACGGTACGGCCTCTCCTCAGTATGGAGCCTACTCGGCCTTGTTGGTCAGCTGTCTTACATCGAATCATCTTTCGCCGAGTTCTCTAGTGAGCTCAATGCTTCTGATCCACAATTTGAAGTTCGGGTTGTGCAACTGGACATCCTGCAATATACGCTCCACTATCTCCTTCTCTGTGTTTATTATATCATTCCTTGAGAAGTATCTTCATGGAGACACCGCGCCACATATTCGGTGTTACGCAGCCAGATGCGTTGAAAGTGCAGAAGCCATCCAGAGAATATGTCGCTCTTGGACTAATGGTCAACACTGCAAGGCTTTTGGGTGGTTTTTCCGAGGCTTTGGAAAGTATTACGCAGTCCTGGCGGAGAGGACGTTAGCCGAGTGAAGGGTGATGGAGATGAAATGGTCGGGCTCAGAGGAGAATGACAATGGTGTAATGGTACTCGTGGTTGGAGGCTTCCGAATCGCAGCTCTGAGTCTGGCTACACTTCCAATGGCTAGAATTACAGATTCTGTATGAGACTTGTGAGCCAGTCGTGTCGCACATTTCGAAACTCATTTTCTGCGTCCCATTCCTTGCTCCTTGGCCAGCGGGAGAAAGATGTATGTTAGCCACGCAGAAAGTGCCGGTTGACGGCCAAGTGAACAACTCAAGATTCCCCATAAAAGAGGAATATAGTACTCAGCATTGACAGACAAGTCGCCGAAATCCTCTAGCAACAGAAACTTTGGATTATTCTACCCGACATGCATTTCGCTGCACCTCTCCTCTTAAATCGCGAAACATGATGCAGCACCAGCCGTGAGATTCTCTAAAATCGGCACAAATTGGCTGTGACAATTTGAGACCTTTTTTCAGTGCCCTTGTCAGGAACACGAAAACTCGATGTAAACGTATTGTATCAAACGGCTAAATGGAGGCCATGTATTGTTACAAGCCCGATAGAGGACCTGTTCTTGAACTTGGCGATATGTCCCTAGATCTCCAATAAATACCTTCTGCATCAACTAAATGTTTATGCTAAGATTGCCTAGTCATTCTTTTCTTGTCTTCCCCATGTCGAACAACGAAAAAAGGGCTTACATATTGGAAGGCATGTTGAAAAAGGCGGACAAAAGCTACGTCTGCCCCGCATGTTTCAAGTCATACTCCCGAATGAGCGACTTGAGCAACCACCTCAAACAATTAAAGGGCACCGAAGATCATAAAGGTCTTTCGGAGAGAGAGGAATCTGAATTCCGACGCAGCTACGGTAGAATCATTGGGTGGAAGCCAACAGATAAGGAGCTAGAACTCGAGCTGCCACGCGAACGATTCGCTGCTTTTCAAGAGACGTCATCGTTGAGAAAATCGCCTCACAGACAAAAGACATTTTGCAATCTAAGATCCAGATATATCTGCGAATTGCTCTGTCTCCGGAATGGCGCACGTGTGTCCCGAATGTGTTGACCATGATTTGGGGTATTTCAATAAGATGGCCGATTTCGATATCCATTGTTGGGAAATGAACGATCAAACACACATGGGCCTATCATTGAAGACCCGGGCAGACTTCGTTTCTGCCTCCTGGAAGCAATGGGGCTCCCCCAGATCGAAGAGTTGCCCCCTGGAAGCGGTAAACCGGGACGCTGGACCAATAGACGATATTTGAAGAGTGACTATGTGTTCAAAACGAAGAAAAGGTATTACCACAAGGAAGAAAGATGCAAGCTCAGCACTAATCACACGCGACCTAGGTTTGTTGCGCCGGAAATTACAGCTGCCGAGGAGCAGGCTATTATTTAATCGAGATGGGTCGTTATTTGTGTGTCAGTGAAACAAACGCAGTTATGCCTGCGAATGCATGGATGTGTGATTGCGCTATTCTAGCATCTGAAGCAGGCAGTAAAAATAGCCAAGAAACTAAATCTAACGGGCGAATCCTCTGGACAGCGATGAGTTTCGATGTAAAGTGAAAGATCCCTTGTAACCACTTCTGCGTAAGTCAAATCTTTCCGCGCAATGCGGACAATGCAGGTAAAAGAAAATGCAACGCATGGCTCCCGCCCATGCCGCTGCGATAAGCTTGATAGCCACCAGTGGGGTCGATAAGCTTGCCGTACTTGCGCGAGCATTCTGTTTGTAAGCCGCTCGCTTGTATACCTTGCACTACAGCTGTCAAGGAATAGTAGTTGCAAGTAGTGTGGAGGGCCTGGAAAGGTCTGTCAGAATTGATATTGAAGTTGAGACGGTTCCAGCATACCTGAGCAAGACCATCAATTTTAGATTCCAGCCCAATCCCAGCAGCCATGCACTCTTTCACCTCCACCATCAGCTGATTCCACCGGGAGCTCAAGATGGAACGCGCTTGGGCTCCATCTTTGGTGAAGGCGATCGGCACATAATCTCTGAAGAGAGCCATGTCTTTGCGTGTTATGAGGCTCGCAAGAGCTGGAATGTCGTTCCATCGCAATTGCTCCAGAAAATCGTTTCTGTTGTTGAGTGGCGTGCTCCAGTCTGCCTCAAGTGGCCTCAAAGAATTGTCAAACGGATGCCCAAAACCTGCAAGTCCTGCAATGCCCTTTCCGCCGAGTCTGCTCTCTCAAGAACCTCCTGGAGGGGTCGGGTTATGAATTTGTCAAGAGTTGCTTCTAACCTGAAGGCTAATCCGCCTTCTCCGGTTCCGCTCAGGCCCTCATATGCCGGGCATTGGAGTACTGCTCGGCTGGCCTCTTGCCAAGTGTACTCAATGGTGGCATAGATTAGAGGGTCGCTTTTAAGCTTTGCCAGGCTCTATTCATGGTTAGAAAATTCATTGATAGGCGGTGCAGACTGTAAACGTGAGTTACCTGTTTGAGATCATGCAATTGGTTCAGATGCTGCGGTGACTTGATCAAGATCAAAATAAAGCTTGGCATCAAGAACTTCATATGTCCAGAGGAATGTCTTGATCTGGTCACAGGGTAGACCCAAAGCTTTTCGAACGAAGTTACCGTAAGAGTTCCGTCTTTAATTTCTCGAGGCTTCTTTGGGAGAGGTCACAAGCAACCTTGGAAGGGCCCTTGTTCAAGATTTCATCCAAGCCTGTTTCCCAAAGCTTTTCACGTGGAATGGGAGTTTCCGCGCTGGAGGAAATGCTCGGTACTCCGGACGCAGTGCTACCACTAGTAGCGAGATCAAAACAGTGCAATCGAGGTTTGTCAGTCTTGTGATTGAGAAGTTGTTGGAACTCGTTCTTGCGCCAATCTCTCTTTTTGGCTTGAAATTTTTCTATCTCTCGGTCGGCTTCATCGCTTGGATTATCCATGGAGACCTCGTGCTCTGTAGACGCAGTGCTAAAGGACGAAGAAGGTGCTTTGTGCATGGCTGTAGTGTCATCTCAGTTAGTAAAGGCATAACAGCTTGTGAGTGTGGTGATGGGGATGGAATAAACCTTTCTGGCTGCCATCGCTAGCCTGCGATATGCCGTCCATCTTGATCAAAGGAAATTGGGAATCCATCATAAGCCAGTAGCCAGTGCTAGGCGACGGAGTCATAGATGTACCAATCTGCAGACGCTGTCCATCATTTGCATGATCGCTGGCCCTGTGCGACCGGAGTGGTGGGCCAATCACTAGTCGTCTGAGCCCCGATCCTCCAGTGCAGCCCCAGGAATACTGTAGTTACTTCTGTCGGTATGAGGATGGCGCTCATCGTCGGAGGTCTAGATCTGTAGGTTAGCCGGGATTGGTTTGATGGGTTTATTCGCCTGAATTCAAATTGCGCAAGGATCATCGGGCTCCACAATGCGGTTTCTGGGAATGTAAAGAGTCCAGGTGATTACGGATGGCTTTCAATACATCGTAATTATTTGAATCAAACCTACTTTAAAGCCGCAATGAAAAGTCCGAGACCGGGAGAGGCGGGGAAATTGGTAACCTCTTTCTCAGGTGTGACGGCTGAATTACAAGTATTCTCCTGAGCTAGCAGTACTCCGCACAAAATCGTTAAAAAGATCGACATGTCAATGTATCGAAGTAATAACCGCTACATTCGTCACCGATTTTCCTATGATTTGGGAGAAGCATTCGAAGAACGTTTTTAACTTGATTAACACCTGCACGCCCAGTATTTGAGGAAACCCTTCCTTATCCGAAATCAGAGACGTCATTGATGAACATGAACGTGGTACCGTCTTAGCGGCTCCTGAAGGTGGCATGTATTTCTTCAGTCATTTTATCCTTCCTTCCTTGCTGATGTACCACGTTAGGCCGGTGTCACAGTCTCTATGCCATAGCCATACTCTCTATCCAGAAATGACAGCCAACCCACCAACATACTCAGAAAGACCCAATATCATGCCAACCGAGTGGCCTTGAACACCAAGCCCTCGCCCGGATTCCGCCACCTCGAATGGTCATAAAACAGCGCCTCATCCTGCTACGGTGTGTACCGCTTGTCTCGTACAGACGTTCAAATCTTTGAAAATTCCCAAAGCGTCATGGTACATTCGGCACCTTCAATCAAACTCCACAACTGACTTGAACATGATGAAAAGAAGAGTAAGCTAATTCCATTTGTATCTCGATAGAAAAATTTGCCTCGCTTCTCTCTGCCCGCTGCGGCTAGTTTTCTGTCCCATATTTCTCTATTTTTGCCGAATTGTTCCTCGGCCGGCGAATCCGAATTGTTACACACTTGCATGCTCTCGATCCTTGACTGTACGAAGTCCACCTTCCCGGACCGCATGTTTCCAAAGGCCTGGGGGAAATAATGCTGTGTTGGGTACATCTAAGCTTTTGGTGAAGGGGTCCTCAACCCCAAAGGAGCCGGCCTGCCATGGACTACTATGGGACTACCAGTCATTGCAATCGTTGTCTGTTCTCGGATGTCGTTACAGGGGTCCTTTTTTCTTTCACACTCAAGGTCATTTGTGCTAAGGTCACTTCAGTTGTGCAACCAGACCGAAGGATCTTCGTAAGATGTTCTCAACATCCATTCGGTGGCCAACCAGCGAAACCAACAATTATACTTGAGGTCTCCAGTTGAAGATTTACCAGCGATGTGAGGGTACCGTTCGCATGATCCGTCCCAAGGAATCCACCTGTGAGAGGGATCTACATAAGGGCTACAGGTCCTGCAACTTCTTAGTCCAACATCGTCGGGTGATAAAAATGAGTCGAGCATAAGGGCCAGTCTGTGCCAAACCATCTCTCATGGAAAGCCCTAAAAAGGACCGCAGTAAGAAAAACAGAAACAAGATGGCAATAGTAGTGATTGAAGGTACATTTTGATGGTTTCGAGCCCCTCAGGATCGTGACATGTATCAATAAAAATGGAAAGAAGAGCAGTGATATAGTACATACAAATTTTGCTTGCCTGGGCCAAAAATTGCAATGAGGAAAGACAAGGTTTAAGCCAGGAATCCCTTGAAAAAGGGGCAAAGAATCCACCACAAACATCAAAAAAACTTCTAGCTGTCCCTTCTGGATTGCTCTCAATGCTTGAACCATCTTTCAACCCATTTTTTTATGTCCCAGCACAGGCAGACTGATATCATTTTGGTGGTGGAGGGGAGCACCTGGCTTCTTAACACCTGTTGTATCATGAGCACCACGAATGCGAATTTCGGTAGGGTATCCCGACGGGACCAGGCATGGCGACTTACCCTTCGTAGGGCCTCCATCGCGGCTTTATTCTCGGGGATGAAAAGCGATTGGAAACCGGACAATCGCGGCGAGTCATGCGGTAAGTGTCGGAGGATGGGTTCTGACTTTGTGTATGTGGGCTCGCTGATCCCTGAAAGGCCAGCTTGGGGTAACTCTCTACCGTCTTAAAAAACCCACATTAGATGAATGACAATTTTAATTGGTTCTAGACCAGAATAGACCATCACGAAATAAGCTTGAAATATCATGTTTACAGTGGCAATTTTACAATAATATAGATCCCCAAACAGCTTTTCTCGAGGTTCAGAAATGGGGTGAATACCATGACTGGAGCCCAGATCCTAGGAGCTGCACTAGGAATCTTCGACGAGTTATCTTTTACTCCTTCAAGAGTCTCGTCTGGAGACCTGGCATTAGGTCTGGGCCCATACCAACGCCTATCAAATTAAGACACCAGCTAGATTGCCGAATTGAAAAATTCTTGGTTTCGAGACTAGTTCCGCAACTGACGTAGATTCAACTTCGATCAATGGGTTGAATCTGCTCCGTTGCCTCTGACGAAAGGACGCCAATTGGTCCCTGATGAACTCCCCACGAA